TTCTGCTATTCATACAGCGGAGGAGGTGATTCTGCCCTCTTTTTGCCCCAATCCTAAGCATGCAAAGGAGAAAGAGTGGCATTATTTAGATATTTGGAGGGCTCTGCATTTCTGTTTGGATATAGTTGTGTCACTGACTATATGTCTGTCTCTTTCAGGAAGGCTTCAGTGGGAAAGAGAGTATCTATGTCCACTAAGTAGGTGGGTTCATCATTCTGGCCTATAAGACCACAGGTCTGGATCTGCCACAGGGCATCAGGGCCCACTCCTTAAAAGTGGCGGCTGCCTCAGCAGCATATAGCTCTTTTCCTTCTCTAGAGATTAAGGCTGCTACCTGGAGGTGAGTGCACTTGTTTACCAGGCACTACAGGATAGACAAGGTGGCCTCAGCTGAAGCGGCCTTTGGGAGGATAGTCCTACAGCACACCCTTCTGGACTAGGAGCCGAGTCTTCCTGCCCTGGCTACACTGCTTTTGTATGTCCCAGAAATGAAGACTGCCCCACCCCTTGACCACTGGAGAACAAAAGATTTATTTCACTTACTGTGAATCTTCCTTCTCAGTGGACATGGGGTGGGCCAGTTTTCCCACCCGAGGTTTTTTCTCCAGTGTGAGCTCCTAGTGCCAAGGGGATCTACTTTCGGAATTTAGGTTTCTAATTTTCTAGCCACCTAGGGAGGCTAGGGCGCAGTTTCTGTTCTGGCTCCACTAGTGTTAGCAGAATATGTGAACTGGTTCCCTTTGGGGTTAGTTACAGTTATTTTAAAAACATCAACAGGAGTTTCTGAAAGTGTTTATGTTCGGAGTTGCCAGTTGTTAAGAGTTACAGCTTGGATACAGACTTGAGAATTCTGGGAAAGGCCCCTCACCTCCAGATTGCAAAAGATTACGACCCTGCTGCAGGAGAGGAGCCAGGATCCCAGAAGTGAAGACTGACCCGCCCCTAGACCACCGAGAAGAAAGATTCACAGTAAATGAAACAAATCTTCCGTTGTGGACATTTTGATTACATGCTCCAAATTTCCATATTCTAATCTACGTAACACTCTCCTAAGTGACACTGTTCCTGGCATTGTTCTTCTTCGCTGACATTCCCATTGGTTGCATTAAAATACAAGAGTATGGATGTCTACCAAGAAGTGATCTTATTAGGGTTTCTCTGCTGATGCCTAAAGTGATATGGGACAGCTTGGAGTTGACAAAATTGACTAAGAAAGGATACTGAGTGGAATGCCAGCTTTGACTACTAGGCCAGCTGACACTTCTTGGAAAGGTAGGGGCTTGGATCCACTGGAGCATTCCACATAGGGAAAG